GCCGAGCGTGGGGCTTTTGGGGGTCCTGGTCGCTGCCCCTATATCATTCGCACAGGTCCCTGCGCTGGTCGCCAGTGCACAAGGTCTCACACTGAGCAGCGCTGCTTCGCTCGGCTTAGCGACGCCTGGCGCGTCAAGTTTCCTGATGCTCCTGAGTTCCCCAACTGGGCAGAGCTGCTTAGACGTGATGTACCTATCTTTGATCTTGAAAATGAGGCTATTCTTGCTGCCATGTATGCATTGACTGTTAGTGCTGAGGGTGACTGCTACTTGTGTGTGCCGCCGGATCCTGGTATAGCCCCTGCAGCACTAGGTGCTTGTGAGTCTGCTCCCCCTGGTACTGCGCCTGCACAGGCCTTGCACACCTTTACACTTGACTCTGGTGCTTCGCGCTGTTTCTTTCGTGACAGTACCACAGTCACTCCCCTCCCTGCACCTGTTCCTGTCTCACTGGCTGACCCCTCTGGAGGCCCGGTGCTTGCACGGTCTTCCACTGTGCTTCCGTGTCCGGCGGTCCCGTCTAGTGAGCTGTCTGGTTTCCACCTCCCCTCGTTCTCTACGAACTTGGTGAGCAACGCTGTCCTCCAGAATGCGGGTGTTAACACCTTCACCCCTGGCCGGCAGCGTGTGGCAATCTACACGTGCTCCCAGACCGGCCGCCACCTGGCCACGTTCACCCGTGCGCCAGGGTCCAGTCTGTACACCCTCACCACTGCGTCGCGCTCCACCCCTTTGTCTCCCCAGCTGCACGCGTCTGCTCAGGTAGCTAACCAGTGTGAGTGTCGTCGGCTGTCTCACGACACTCTCCTGTGGCACCACCGCCTTGGTCACCCCTCCCTGCCTCGCCTTCGTAGCATGCACTCTCGCTTTCTGGTCTCTGGTCTTCCCAGGTCTCTGCCTGCCCTCCCTCCCTCGCCTGCGCCGCCCTGCATTCCTTGCGTCGAGGGGCGGCAGCGCGCCGCTCCTCACTCCTCCTCGTTCCCTCCCACAGAGGCTCCACTGCAGACTCTCTACCTGGACGTGTGGGGCCCAGCCCGCGTCCGTGGACAGGGCCACGAGCGGTACTTCCTGCTGGTTGTCGACGACTACACTCGCTACACCACGGTCTTCCCCTTGCAGCGCAAGGGGGGTGTCCCTGATGTTTTGATCCCCTGGATCCGCGCTACTCATCTCCAGCTCCGCGAGCGGTTCCAGTCGGACTTTCCTTTCCTGCGTCTGCACTCTGACAAAGGTGGTGAGTTCTCCTCAGACCTCTTGGCAGCCTTCTGTGCGGAGCACGGCATCCGCCAGACGTTCGCGCTTCCGGCCTCTCCGCAGCAGAATGGGGTTGCTGAGCGCCGCATTGGCTTAGTCATGGAGGTCGCTCGTACCTCCATAATCCATGCGGCCGCCCCCCATTTTCTGTGGCCGTTTGCGGTCCGGTACGCCGCGCATTAGCTCAATCTTTGGCCCCGTGTCTCCTTGCCGGAGACCTCGCCTACGCTGCTGTGGACGGGGAAGGTTGGCGATGCGTCGCGTTTCCGGGTCTGGGGTGCTCGTGCCTTGGTCCGAGATACCACCGCGGACAAGCTCTCCCCTCGCGCCATTCCTTGCGTCTTCCTTGGCTTTGTCCCTGACGCGCCTGGCTGGTAGTTTTACGACCCCGCCTTGCGTCGTGTCTTTGCGTCCCAGGACGTCACCTTTGACGAGTCGGTCCCCTTTTACCGCCTCTTCCCCTACCGCACTGCTCCTCGCCCTCTCCCGCCGCTCTTTCTCGCCCCAGGTCCTCCCCAGGTAGACCCCCTCCCCGCGCCAGGTCCTGCTCCTTCAGGTGTTTCTCAGGTAGACCCTCCCGTCCCTGCGCCTGTTGAGGTCACTGGTGACTCCGGTCCTGCTTGCGGTGGTGCTGTCCCTTGTGGTGCGGAGCTTAGGGGTGCGCAGCATGGGGGTGCTGAGTCTGGGGGCGCTGAGCGTGAGGGGCCTGCGGATACGGAGCCTGGGGGTGCTGAGCCTGCGCGTGAGGTGCCTGGAGGTCCTGCGTCTGGGGTTGCTGCGTCTAGGGGTGCTGAGCCTGCGTGTGCGGAGCCTGGGGGTGCTGCGTCTGGAGGTCCTACGTCTGGGGGTACTGCGTCTGGGGGTGCTGAGCCTGCGTGTGCGGAGCCTGGGGGTGCTGAGTCTGGGGGTGAGTCGCCTGAGGGTTCTGAGACTGCTGTTACGCGGTCTCCTTGGAGTAGCCGTCTTCGTCAGCGTGTGCCTCTCACCTCCCAGCAGCTGCACGACTGGTACGGTCGTCGTCTACGTCGCGCTTCTGCACCTCAAGACTCTACTGCTGGGGGTTCTTCTGCTGGCGTCACTGGGGCAGGGGGTGGTGCTGGTCCTTTGCCTGCAGGAGGTACTAGTGTAGCTGGTCCTGGAGGTGCTCGTACTTGGGGTACTGGAGCTGCTGGGGCTGGCGGTGTTGTGTCTGACTGTACTGGCGCTGCTGGAGGTGCTGGAGCTACTGAGGGTACTGGAGCTGCTGAGGGTACTGGAGCTGCTGAAGGTACAAGAGCTGCTGGAGGTGCTAGAGCTGCTGAGAGTACTGGAGCTGCTGAGGGTGCTGGAGCTGCTCGAGGTACAGGAGCTGCTGGATGTGCTGGAGCTGCTGAGGGTGCTGGAGCTGCTGGAGGCGCTGGAGCGGCTGGAGGTGCTGGAGCTGCTGGGGGTGCTGGAGCTTTTGGTGCTGGTGGCCCTGCACAGCCGCGCCTGTTCTTCGCTCCGCCGTCTCCGTCGTCTCAGCCACCGCCTGACTCTGCGCTTCGCCAGGTTCTTAGTCTCCCTTTGTCTACTGGTCTTCCGTTACAGTCTGGTTCACTGCTGCCTGCTCCTTCTCCGTACACTGAGCAGACAGGGGGGCTTGCTGAGCGTCGTGAGCCTGCGTCGCGTCCTGTCTCACCTGTCCGTTCTGGTCGTTCCGGTAGTCGTGTTCCTTGTCAGCGTCAGCCGGCTATCCCCGGCCCTCACCTTGTAGTCCGTCGTCCTCCCTCTCCTCCATCGCGTGTTCCTCTGCCGTCTCCGCCTGCGTCCTCTCTGCCTGTCGTCGCTGACCCTGCGTCTGACCAGTTTCGTGCTGAGCACCCTACTGACACGCGTCTGCTTGCTACTGTTGTCACTGACCCGTCTTTTGAGTCTGCTACTGCGTCTGCCTTCGTCGCTGAGCTTATTGACTTTGCTGCTGTCTGTCGTCTAGAATACGCCGCTAGTCTTGTTGCTGAGTCTGAGTCTGTCTGTCCTCCGTCCGTCGGGGGTGAGTGTGCTCTTAGCACGGACGTCCTTGAGGACAGGCAAGAGGACCTTGAGTGCCTTGCAGCCACTGCGCCTCATCTCGTGCCCATGCTGCTTGCCCTTGAGGGAGACCCGGATGCACCAGACATTCCGACTCCGCGATCGTACGCTGAGGCGATCGCGGGTCCCTAGTCCTCTCAGTGGCAGACAGCCATGGACGCAGAGATGGCTTCCTGGAAGTCCACAGGCACCTACGTCGACGAGGTTCCCCCACCTGGGGCGAACATCGTCAGTGGCATGTGGATTTTCAGGGTGAAGCGGCCGCCGGGTTCTCCGCCTGTCTTCAAGGCTCGTTACGTTGCTCGAGGCTTCAGACAGCGTGAGGGAGTTGACTTCTTCCAGACCTTCTCCCCCACCCTGAAGATGACCACTCTTCGGGTGCTGCTGCACGTTGCCGCTCAGCGTGACTACAAGCTTCACTCTCTTGACTTCAGCACAGCCTTCTTACAGGGCAGTCTGCACGAGGAGATCTGGCTGCGCCGCCCACCTGGCTTCACTGGGTCGTTCCCTCCTGGTACCCAGTGGAGCCTTCGGCGGCCAGTCTACGGTCTCCGTCAGGCGCCACGTGAGTGGCACGACACACTGAGGACGACTCTTGCGGCTCTTGGGTTTGCCCCGTCGACTGCTGACCCGTCGTTGTTTCTGCGCACCGACACATTGCTGTCGCCGTTCTACATCCTCGTGTACGTCGACGACTTGGTCTTTGCCAGTGCTGACACTGAGGCTCTCGCCCTGGTGAAGTCGGAGCTACAGAAGAGACACACGTGCACAGACCTGGGTGAGCTGCGCAGCTACCTTGGCTTGCAGATCACCCGGGACAGAGCACAGCGCACCATCACACTGACTCACTCACACATGGTGCAGCAGGTCCTTCAGCGCTTCGGCTTCACCTGGTCCTCAGCACAGGCCACTCCTCTGGCTACAGGTCACTCGCTCTCAGCTCCACCTTCGGACGAGTCCGTAGAGCCGAGTGGTCCTTACCCAGAGCTAGTGGGCTGCCTCATGTACCTGATGACCTGCACTCGTCCTGACCTTGCGTACCCTCTTGGCCTTCTGGCTCGCTACATGGCTCCCGGTCGGCACCGAAAGGTGCACATGGATGCTGCTAAGAGGGTACTACGCTACTTGTGCAGTACACTGGGCATGGGGCTCATGCTTGGAGGGCGGAGCCCAGTTGTCCTTACTGGGCACTCGGACGCTTCTTGGGTTGATGACCAGGCTACGCAGCGGTCGTCACAGGGTTACACCTTCAGCCTTGGCTCTGGTTCAGTTTCCTGGCGTTCTACACGCTCGTCTTCAGTTCTCGGCTCCAGTTGTGAGGCTGAGATCTACGCCACAGCCATGACTGCACAGGAGCTACGCTGGCTCACCTACCTGCTGACCGACTTGGGAGAGCGGCCTCGTTCTCCTCCAGTGCTGTACGTCGACAACAAGGCCGCCATTGCCTTGTGTCAGGAGCACAGACTGGAGCACAGAACGAAGCACATCGCTCAACGTTACTTCCTTCCTCGAGAGTTGCAGCAGCGTGGCCAGCTTCGTCTTGCTCACGCGGCCACTCGGGCCAACACTGCTGATATATTCACCAAGGCACTTCCGCCTTGTGATCATCAGCGTTTCTGTACTTTGTTAGGCCTTGTACCCACGCTTCCTCACTTGCTGTAGGCTTTGTTTGTACTGTGATCTATCTGTATACCTGCATGCTTGCTCTGGTAGGTAGAGATCACTGTGCTGTTGTTGTTACATATATATCTCGGCATGTGAACTGGCCTTTTGCTTGTCCTCAGACTGCGTGGTGATGTTGTGATCCACCCTGATCTTGCTTTGCATTTCCTGACTGGTCTTGTGACCCTCTTTTCTCCCCCACTTTGCCTTTGGGGGTGTGTCAAACATATACATATATATATGTTATACTTTGGGTAGGCTTAGTGGGGTACTCACTGTGGGGTACAACCCCTTAGGTTTCTCCTTTGTACCAATTCTCTCGATAGTCAAACCCATTCATGCCTATACTCTAAGACACCCCAGGGAGCTCCGCGGGTGGGGGGGCAGCCCTGGGTGCCCGGGGCACCCCAAGGAGAGCAGCAGCCAGGGGGGCAGCCGGGGGTGACCGGAGCACCCCAGGGAGTGCAGCAGGCAGGGGGGCATCCGAGGGTGCCTGGGGCACCCCAGGGAGTGCAGCAGGCAGGAGGGCAGCCGAGGGTGCCTGGGGCACCCCAGGGAGTGCAGCAAGCAGGGGGGCAGCCGGGGGTGCCCGGGTCACCCCAGGGAGTGCAGCAGGCAGGAGGGCAGCCGGGGGTGCCCGGGTCACCCCATGGAGTGCAGCAGGCAGGATGGCAGCCGGGGGTCCCCGGAGAACCCCAGCGAGTGCAGCAGGCAGGAGGGCAGCCGAGGGTGCCCGGGTCACCCCATGGAGTGCAGCAGGCAGGAGGGCAGCCGGGGGTCCCCGGAGAACCCCAGAGAGTGCAGCAGGCAGGAGGGCAGCCGAGGGTGCCCGGGTCACCCCAGGGAGTGCAGCAGGCAGGAGGGCAGCCGAGGGTGCCCGGGGCACCCCAGGGAGTGCAGCAAGCAGGGGGGCAGCCGAGGGTGCCCGGGTCACCCCAGGGAGTGCAGAAGGCAGGAGGGCAGCCGAGGGTGCCCGGGGCACCCCAGGGAGTGCAGCAAGCAGGGGGGCAGCCGAGGGTGCCCGGGTCACCCCAGGGAGTGCAGCAGGCAGGAGGGCAGCAGGGGGTGCCCGGGTCACCCCATGGAGCGCAGCAGGCGGGAGGGCTGCCGGGGGTCCCCGGAGCACCCCAGCGAGTGCAGCAGGCAGGAGGGCAGCCGAGGGTGCCCGGGTCACCCCAGGGAGAGCAGCAGGCAGGGGGGCAGCCGAGGGTGCCCGGGGCACCCCAGGGAGTGCAGCAGGCAGGAGGGCAGCCGAGGGTGCCCGGGTCACCCCAGGGAGAGCAGCAGGCAGGGGGGCAGCCGAGGGTGCCCGGGGCACCCCAGGGAGTGCAGCAAGCAGGGGGGCAGCCGAGGGTGCCCGGGTCACCCCAGGGAGTGCAGCAGGCAGGGGGGCAGCCGAGGGTGCCCGGGGCACCCCAGGGAGTGCAGCAGGCAGGAGGGCAGCCGAGGGTGTCTGGGGCACCCCAGGGAGTGCAGCAAGCAGGAGGGCAGCCGAGGGTGTCTGGGGCACCCCAGGGAGTGCAGCAGGCAGGAGGGCAGCCGAGGGTGCCCGGGGCACCCCAGGGAGTGCAGCAGGCAGGAGGGCAGCCGAGGGTGCCCGGGTCACCCCAGGGAGTGCAGCAGGCAGGGGGGCAGCCGAGGGTGCCCGGGGCACCCCAGGGAGTGCAGCAGGCAGGGGGGCAGCCGAGGGTGCCCGGGGCACCCCAGGGAGTGCAGCAGGAAGGAGGGCAGCCAAGGGTGTCTGGGGCACCCCAGGGAGAGCAGCAGCTAGGAGGGCAGCCGAGGGTGCCCGGAGCACCCCAGGGAGAGCAGCAGGAAGGAGGGCAGCCGGGGGTGCCCGGGGCACCCCAGGGAGTGCAGCAGGCAGGAGGGCAGCCGAGGGTGCCTGGGGCACCCCAGGGAGAGCAGCAGGCAGGAGGGCAGCCGAGGGTGCCCGGAGCACCCCAGGGAGAGCAGCAGGCAGGAGGGCAGCCGGGGGTGCCCGGGGCACCCCAGGGAGAGCAGCAGCTAGGGGGGCAGCTGTGGGTGACCCGAGCACCCCAGGGCGAGCAGCAGGCAGGGGAGCAGCCGGAGGTGCCCGGGGCACCCCAGGGAGTGCAGCAGGCAGGAGGGCAACCGAGGGTGCCCGGGGAACCCCAGGGAGCGCAGGAGGCAGGAGGGCAGCCGAGGGTGCCTCGGGCACCCCAGGGAGTGCAGCAGGCAGGAGGGCAGCCAAGGGTGCCCGGGGAGCCCCAGGGAGCGCAGGAGGCAGGAGGGCAGCCGAGGGTGCCTCGGGCACCCCAGGGAGTGCAGCAGGCAGGAGGGCAGCCGAGGGTGCCCGGGGCACTCCATGGAGAGCAGCAGGCAGGGGGGCAGCCGGGGGTGACCGGGGCACCCCAGGGAGCACAGCAGCCAGGGGGGCAGCCGAGGGGGCCCTGGGCACCCCAAGGGACGCAGCAAGCGGGGGGGCGATCGATGGACGACCAGGAGCAGCAGTTGGAGGAGTGGTGTCGACTTTTGGAGTTTGATACCCCCATGGCGACTGCGGAGGAGTCAGAGGCGGACGGTGAATCTCCCAGGCCGCCTTCCCCATGCCCCCGTTTTCCGTGTGACACGTGTTTCCATACTTTCGCTACGCGAGGGGGCGCTGCGAACCACATGAGGGTATGCCGGGCGGCTGAGGCGGAGAGGCGTGCACAGGCTCTCGGCTCGATTCCGTCTCTGGTGGAGACCGACACGCAGGAGCGACCGACGCCGCGGGAGTTTGGGGACGAGGCGTGGGCTGGGGTGACGTCATGGGAATGGGAAACATTTTTTAGTGTGGAGGCGGTTGGAGGGAGGACAGTGCGCCGGATTCCACAGCGGGCTAGGTCGGGGGTTTTAGACGCGCTCTGTTGCATCCTAAAGCGCTTGAAGAGCCAACCGAGGGATGAAGCCGCTACCCTCCTACTCTTGGCGTTTCCGCGCCTCATCCTGGCCGTGCCTCCCAAGCCAGGCATAGGTCAGAAGGCGCAGATCACAAAGCGGCTGGGTGCGTTCTGGGAGGGGAGGTGGCGGGAGCTGTTCGACTCTGCCATGGTGGCAGCGCGGCCAGCAGTTCGCCCACTTTCCTACACTTGTTCTGACGAGGACCCGGACGCCATCCGCCTATCACGGTGCCGATCTCGGTGCAAAGTGGGGGAGTGGAGCCGTTGTTTGGCCTGCCTTACAGCAGGGGAGTTGGCTCGACCGTCTGAGGCCATGGTGCAGTCGCTGCGAGAGAAGCACCCGGCTAGCACTGGCGAGGTACCACAGTGGGTCCGCGATTTCACCGTCGATACTGCTCAGCGGCCTTCACTCACGACCGACATCCTGGCCAGAGCTATCCATACAGCCGCTCGAGCTTCAGCAGCAGGGCCATCGGGGTGGGTCACAGAGCATCTGCGCGACACCTTCCTCACTGAACCTTCGTGCCTTTCCCACCTGCTGGAAGTGTTCAACCAATGGGTGGCGGGACAGGTCCCCGAGCGAGCTCGGCCGTGGCTTGCCGCATCTAACCTAGTCGGGCTTTCCAAACCTAACGGCGACGTCCGGCCGGTGGCGATCGGGGAAGTGCTTCCTCGTATCCCTGCTCGAGCTCTCTGCATCTCGCTCCGCCCTGCGATGGTTTCCTACTTCCAGCCGTGCAACCAGCTGGGAGCGGGCACCAGGGTCGGGGCGGAGATTCTCACTCATTCTTTCCGGTCAGCGCTGGCCACTCACCCCGACTGGTGTGCGCTACAAATAGACGTCGCAAACGCCTTCAATTCGTTTCACCGTCATGCGATGTTCGATGGGCTGCGGGAGTCGCCTTTCTCAGGGATGATCCCATTCTTACGTGTTTTCTATGGGACACCTAGCGACCTGTACCTCCGAGCAGGCCCTTTCGTACTGAGCCTCGAGTCGGCACGGGGATCGAGACAGGGAGACCCGCTCGGCCCTTTTCTTTTCGCGTTCACGCAGCAGCTGGTGATGGAGCCGGTTACTAGGGAGTTCGGGGACCTGCTTTTCCTCAGCTATGCAGACGATACCTATATTTTGGGGCCAGCGGCTAGGATTTTGGAGGCTTTTGGGGTGCTGCGGGAGCGGTTGGAGTGGGTGGGGCTGGAGGTGCAGGCGCACAAGTGCCGGTTTTGGGAGCGCGAGGGCAGGGAGGCGGAGCGGGCACTGCCATTGGGGATGCAGCGGGTGGATGAGGGTCTTACTGTGGTGGGCGTGCCTATTGGGGAGGAGGTTTGGGAGGTGGTCCGGCTACGGGAGCGGCTTCGACAGTTGCAGGCGCCACTGCCATGGCTCCCCTTGCTCGACCACCCCCAGATGGCTTCACACCTCCTCGCCATTGCAGTTTCAGCGCGGCCGATGTACCTCGCCCGGACTATGCCGCCGCGCCCGGAGGTGGTTGAGGCTTTTAGGGATTGGGACAGCTGTTTAGAGGATTGTTTTGAGCAGCTTTTCCCACCTGGCACTTGGGAGCAGGACCCCGACCGGTCTAGGCGCGCACGCATGCAACTGCATCTCCCTGTGCGACTCGGAGGGTTCGGGATCCGGGCGGCGGCCTCTTTGAGCCCATTGTCCTATATTTGTGGGTGGGCGCAGGCCGCGCGTGACATTGCACAGTTAGGGGTGGCGGGCGAGGAGGCGATGTTTGCAGAGTACCTCACCACTTCGACAGGGGCAGAGTTTCTTGACCCGTGGTTTGCCAAGGCTCTTAAGCAGCTGCCAGCGACTATCCGCCAGGAGATACCGGGCTTACCCCTGTGTGTAGCGGCCCCTCCTGTTCGGCTTTTCCAGGCGCGGCAGCGGCAGTTAGCTGTAGAGGAGCTCCAGGCACTGCGCCGTTTGGCTCGTGACGATGCTACCTTGGCCCGTTTCACATCCCTTCAGGGCCCGGGGGCGGGTGCATGGGTCTCGGCGGTTCCGGCTCACTCAGGTCTCACATTCACCGCAGCCGAGTGGGGCATTGCTGCTGCTATACGGCTCGGGCTCCCAATTCAGCAGCTGCAGGTGGTGGGGAGGTGTGTTTGTGGTACAGTGTATGTTGACCCAGCAGACCCGCATCATGCCCTGAGATGCAAGCACCAGCATGGTCCATCTCGGGTGCATGATGAAGTGAAGTTTGCGGTGGCGAAGATCTCTAAGGCGTCGGGGGGGGGTGGTGACAATGGAGGATAGTGTGGTGCTGCAGGGGAAGCGGGTTGATGTGGCGGTGCGACGACCAATGGCTGGAGAGGCTCACGCCCTAGAGATCAGCGTCGCGGACCCGCTATCGCTGTCTCCATCCTTGCTAGGACAGTGCGGGCGTCAAATAGGTGTGGCGGCAAGAGAGTGGGAGCGTCGCAAAACGAGTGATTACGCGCCTCTGCTTGCACGCAACCGGGGCGTGCAGTTCACCCCTCTGATAGTAGAGACGTGGGGGTGTCTCGGCGGTCGTTTTCGGCGGTGGCTTCGTCAGCAGGGGGATGCGCACATGGGGTTAGCTATGTCGCGGGGGGCTTGTCGGGAGGACGACTCTGTGTTTTCGGCTTATCTTTTAGGGTCACTGAATGCGCTCATCGGGGTGGCGCTACAACGTGCGCAGGCCCGAGTCATCCTGCTTCGAGCGGCGTCTTCCATGGGGGGAATTGACGTAGACTTGGTCGATCGGGAGAGGGACGACGTCGATGTGGAAGGCGGGGCTCTTTGGGTGGAGGCCCCGTACATGGTGGATACGCTGTTGTGATTTGGGGGGGGGGGGGGGGGGGAATGGGGTGTGGGATGGGACGTCTTGATGGGGTGTCTTGATTGGGGGTTTTGATTGGATATCTTGAGGGGGGGTTTTATGTGTGTTGCATTTGGTTTCTTTGTGACAGCCTTTCGAGCGTTGCGAGTTTGAATTTAAAAAAAAAAAAAAAAAAAAAAAAAAAAAAAAAAAAAAAAAAAAAAAAAAAAAAAAAAAAAAAAAAAACAACAACAAAAAAAAACAAAAAACAAAAAACAAAAAAAAAAACAAAAACAAAAACAAAAACAAAAAAAAAAACAAAAAAAAAAACAAACAAACAAACAAACAAACATCGTCACTGCAATGGCTTGACTGTAAACAAGCATGTGTTTGCCTGTATGAAATACTTTGTGTCTGCGATGCGATGCGACTGTCTGTGCTCTTTTTTTTTTTGTGGTTGGTTTTTACTGCTGAAAAAAGAGGATTCTTGTGCGACGTGGTCGGAGAAGTGTTGCTGTCAGTGCGATCAGGCAGGGAACATTTGCGTGGGAAACACTGCGAATTTCGTGCGAGGTGTAGAATGTTCGACTGAAGAGAAGAAAGAATGGTCGTGTACACCAATCCAAGCATACAAAACTTAAGATTAAACACAGAAACTGTAAACTATGAATGGATTGAACCTGAGGCCATGATTGCAATGCTCAAGGAATACAAAAACCTTAGTTAATCCAAGCCTCTCCACTAACCATCATCAGAACAAGCAAGACCTGACATAGCAAGACCATCTTGCTATGAAGTACACACATGTTACAGTATTGACCCGCAAGAACCTGATTGGCTAGCACTCTCCGCACGTTTCAGCGCCGCTTCAAAATCCATAGTCACCACTCCCGGTTCCACATCCTGATCGATCCGCACAAGCATGCGGTTGGGAGCGGTAACCAGGTAACGGTCCTTGAGAGCCTGCAACTCCGCAAGCACCTGCAGCATGGAGGGGCGCGCAGCGGTGCGCATGTTGGTGCAGGCGAGGGCGAGGTGGGCCAGGGCAAGGAGCAGGGCAGGCGGGGCGTCCAAGCTGGGATCTGCGAATCTTGTTGCCACTTGGTTGTCATTGCCTTCCTGCTCCACCCGTGCTGCCACCCACTGCTTCAAGTTGAACGGAGCCTCCTCCTTTCCTTCCTCCTTTTCCTCCTCGCCACCCGTTGCTTTCCTCCCCGTGACCAGCGCCAGCATCACCACCCCGAAACTAGCACAGGAGGGACCAAGGCATGAAGAAACACAATGAAGGCAGGTTCACATGATTAAGACCACCGTAATGAAGTCGTAAGTACCGATAATTGACATTTGACAAGGGAGATGGGAAGGGGGTAAAGGCAGAAACTACAGCGCCCGCAGTTGAATGAGAACACTCGGGGCTTATTCTCACTCTGTAAAGTTTAATTCCCTGTAGGTTTAGGAACTGAAGCACCTAACCCGTCTAAAACAAAGCACCTAACAAGTACAGACGTCCCAACACGCTGCCGACACAAAGCCCTGACATGACAGCGCATCAAGATTCACTCACCCACCACAAATGAGACGGTCGAGCCAAATGCAAGGGCCCACCACTTCAGCACCGTTTCTAGATGCAAATTGCAGGATCGACATGCAAGGATCGAGAAGCAAGGCTTACCTGTATACATCGACAGCCGGAGTGGCCTTCTGCGACCTCACATAGGCCGGATCCATGTATCCCGGTGACCCCATCACCCGCGTGGCCATCACCGTGGTACCCTCGCCGCACCGCACAAGGCCGAAATCAGCGACCTTGGCTTGCATGTTGGAGTCTAGAAGAATGTTAGCGGGCTTAATGTCCCGATGCACCATGTTGAATGAGTGCAGGTACTGGAGACCTGCTCCTACTCCTAGCAGGATGCTCATACGCTCGCGCATGCTCAGTGGACGCGGGGCGGCTGCAGGGATGAGTAAACATGGGAGCGAGAAGAGATTGGGAAGGCGAAATAGAACGAAGAGAAGTTGAAGTGAAGCGCGTGGGGAGGAGGAGGATTCAAGGGGTGAATATTGAGATGATGATTTGTCAACTGGCTGCCACATGCCACATGCTCGACTGCTAATTCCAAATACCACATGGCCCATGCCCCATGCCCCAAGCACAATGCCCCATGCCCCATACCCCATGCCCCAAGCCCTATGCCCCGTGCCTGATGCCACGCGCACCTTTGGCAATCCAGCAATCAAGGTCCTTCCCAGCCATGAACTCATACACGAGAATCTGCTCCATGCGCTGCCTGGCCGAGCCGTCTTTAGAGGCGCCTCAACACCCATATGCCCCACGCCCATGCCCCACGCCCATGCCCCACGCCCATGCCCCACGCCACAAGCCACCCCCCAAGCCCAAACCACACGCACCTGTGCCGATCCAGTAATCAAGGTCCTTGCCAGCCATGAACTCATACATGAGGATCTGCTCCATGCGCTGCCTGGCCGAGCCATAGCACACGCAGAACCCCAGCAGGCGCACCAGGTGCGCGTGGTGCTTGGATGCCATCGCCTCCACCTCCGTCTGAAAGTCATTCGACAGAAACTTGGCGCGCTTCACCGCCCACACCTCCCCGGTTTGAGGATCCACTCCCCTGTACACATCGCCAAACGCCCCGCTGCCCACCAGGTTTTGCTCTGCCCAGCCGGCTGTTGCTCGCTCCAGCTGCTTCAGAGAGAATTCCTGGCACACGCCGGTCCTCTTGCTTCCCTTGCTCGTTCTCAGGCTCATGCTGAGCAATCCTCTTCCTGGTTTCTCCCCGCCCATTGAGCCGCCTGGCACACTGCTGCTGGTGGAGTCGCTCGGCACGACGGGCTCTTTTTGGTTCTGCCGGCGGCGCCAGCAGAAGCAGAAGAGGAGCAGAGCCAGCAGCAGCAGAGATGCGATGGTTCCGACTGTGGCCCCTGCGATTACTGCTGGTCTGACCCCGGTGGAGGGTGAAGCAGGCGGCACAGGCGCTGGTGGCGGTGGTGGTGGTGGTGGTGGTGGTGGTGTTGGCCCTGGCCCATATGAATATCCCGGTGGTGGTGGTGTTGACGACGGGTTGTGAGGCACAAAAGGGGGGGTGGGAAGCGGGATGGGCAAAGAA